TGGCTCCTTTAGCCAGATACCAAACACCTGTGTGAACGAATGTTGCGAGGGGGAAATCGCTACACAAAAAGTACCATTTGTAACCTTCAGATTTGTACACTGTGAGTGGCTGCAGGGATTATTAGCTGAACGTGATGATATACCAACCTCCCTGTCAATCAAAGATTAAGGCTCCAAAATTGTAACTGATGTTAGTTACATTTGAACACTTTAAGCAATGTCTTTAAATGTATAATAGGCAGTGATTACATGTAACTGATAATAACAAGTACTGCACTTACTTACATTTTTGAGGTAACCTACTTATGCTTGAGTATTTCCATTTTATGCTATTTCCACTCACTCTACTACATTTTAGAGGCAAATATTGTATTTTCACCACTTTTATTTGATAGCTGTAGTAACTAGTAAGATTTTACATACAAAACCTGTGTAAACAGTATGTAAAGTAGTAGCTAACTCTCAACCAGCTTCCACATTAAAATGTTGTTTACAATATAACTGCATTATTAATAATAATAATACTAATATAGAAAATATGGTATTTGAATATAAATCTACAGGGGCACTGTGCTGTGATCACTTTTACTAATTATTTGTGTGAAGAAAAGAAAACTTTTAGACTGACATGAGAACAGTAATTAAAATCTAAAATAAAACATAGTATCTATATTAGTATAAAAATATTTTCTAGTGTGAAAGTATATCTCATGCACAGTGTGGGACAGCTTACTATTTGACATAGCCTACAGTGTGTACATCTTTTTTACTAATGGTGTCTACCTTTGTATAAAAGTGCGTTGTACTCTAATATTTATTTTACTCCTTACCATCCTCACTATGTAAACACCAAAGTAAAAGGAGCACTACTGCAGTATAATAATGCTCCATTACAAGAAAAAGTACATAAGTATAAAAAGTACTCATAATGCAAAATAAAATGGCTCCTGTGAGTGTTATACTATTACAGTATATTATTAGCATCCATGTGTACATACTATTTTACAGTTTTGAGGTGGAGCTAATTTTAAGTACACTACTTGAGTAAATGTACTTAGTTAATAATATCAATAAAGTAAAAAATAAAGTAATAAATAATAAATAAAGGAACATCTACTCATATCTTAGTTTTTACCACTACCTTTGAGAAACACATGTATCTGAGCATGCTGCTTATAAAACCATTTTAAACACCAATCAGTTAGAGTACTTTGCTATAAAACATGCCATCATTTAATGAATTTCATTTTATAATCTGAATGTGCTGAAAAATATCAACAGCAGGTGGCAGCAAAGACCTCCGATTTAACCGCTGGCTGTTGCAGTCTGTCTTTATTTGTTCTTCTCAAATTACTTACTCTTAGTGATGGAGGACTTATAAAATCACACTTAGTGGTGTCATGATCCTTCACTTTATGATTATGTGCTTGACTGTGTCTGTTCCCCGAGTGCCTGATGTGCTTACTAACTAATTGCTTGGGGGGGGGGGGGGGGGGTGATGACTCATCGCCTACCTCTGTGGACAACTCAGTGTCAAGTGTTTTGCTACAGCGCACAGAGCGAGATAAATGGGGATTATTCATGTTTCAAGGTCTCAAAGGCAACTCTTGACTACCAAACTTAGTGAACCATGTTTATGTACTGGTATTTTTTATTTGTTTGTCAATGTTGTGGCGATATCTAATTTTAGAGGTGAAACACTGATAAAACTAAGCGAAGTTCATTCATCATCTTGGAAATAGTACTTTACCAAAATAATATAGAATCAAGGTCCACTTACTGGATTTTTCCTGAGTTTTTCTTTTTCTTCTAGCTTGCTGCGAGCTCAGTAGCTGTATACATTTCATCCATAACATTTTTAGCATGTCTATAGTGCATATCACCCTTTTCAGCCACTAGTCATTTTCACATGACCCATCTCCATGTCAACTGAGCAATCTCTACCTGCTGATGAAGACCATGTGATATGGTTGAAAGCTTCAATAAAAGCTAGTAAGCTGAAATTGAGTTGTTTTATCAAACTACTGACTAAACAGACTGGACAGATGGGTTTTATGTTACTCAATAAAGGTTACTGCATAAGGAGCATAAAACAAATATTTCTTATTGGAGAATATACATTTTAACTGCACCAGACAAAGAAGACCTCCCCTTGCTGAGCTAAAAGTAATGTTTTCCCAGTTTCTTTTTGCTTTGATGTAAATGACTGGTGACTCTGTCATTGTCAATACCCTCATTGCCAAATTTCAAGGCAATCAGCTTTGTCCTTTCTACCATTTGCCTTCTCCCCCATGTACCGACAGTAAGAGATGGAGGGGAGACACAGAGAGAGAGAGAGAGAGAGAGAAAGAGAGAGAGAGAGAGAGAGAGAGAGAGAGAGAGAGAGAGAGAGAGAAAGAGAAAGAGAGACATTTTGACTGTTCGGATTCACTTTAAAATATGGCAAAGGGCCAATCGCAGAGCAGCGGGAAGACAAATTAAGTGGGGACCTTCCCAGCAGGTCGTCCTTGGACAGATTGGATGTGATTCTGTTCAACCTCTCAACATCCTCCCAACACGAGGAGGAGAGGACGGGACTCACAAGCTGTCACAGAGCAGTTCCTAATACATATATTTGCAGCCTGTCTTTAAAGTATGTAAAGTATAACGTCAATACACCTATTAAGCTGTTTTATTCACACTCAGAGAATTGGACAGTACATAAGCTGTGGTTTTTCATCATGTGAGTTGTCATCATTGAAACAAGCCATTTGTTTTTGTGCAGTTCTCCTGAGAGTCTTTGTCTGGATAAAGGCTGAAGGCTCTCTGTATTTATTAGCAACAGTAGCTACTAACACTGAAGTTTGTAATATGCTGCCGAGTGAGGAGAGGAGATCAAAGGGAGAGCGGAGGAAGTCATGAAATGATCCAAACATATGATTAAACTCAGAGATTGAAGGCAAAACCAGACTCCAAAGCCCCTAACAAGATTTCTTTTGTCTGCTACTCACGATAATTTAAATAAGATAATTCATCATTCCCTTGCATGCAATGTTTTCCACAAAACTGATTTACTCAATTTGCAGGTAGGTCTTCTTCTCTGTTTTTGCAACAAGACAGGTGGACAGGTAAACAGTGAAGGCAGCCTCACACCCTCTTCAGCTGACACACAGAGGCTTTTTTCTCTTTTCCCAGAGCGGCAATAAATCTTTAGATGTGGCTTTTAGGAGGATTGTGCTGTTACTTTGACTGCCAGTTTTTCCCCTTTCCTCAGCTTTATGGAGACTACAGGAGACTGCGCCTGATCTTCGGAAAGCAATTGATCTTCTACAGGAAACAAACTAAAGGGTCAGTGACTTCTTTCATATGTGCAGACACGCTTGTTCAATATACAGACATCCTTTCCAATGGAAAAAGTGGTTCATATTTGAATTACCGACCATTTTCAAAAGGCAGCAACCTCAAAGATAATAACCAAATCTTTATAAATGGATAATAGCCTATTCATCATCAACCACTTTTGTCTCATTCATAAATTCCCAGATAACAGCGACATTAGCCACATGTGGCGCCTTGACAGCAGAAAAAAGGTGATGAATATGTCTGGCCCCTCTTGTAATTTGAAGTTAATAAAGAGACAGTTAATGTGAGGTGTCCACACTGTAACTGGAGAGTGAGTCATTCTCTGAGTGGATATACTTTAATTATGAAACCTTATGGACACCCACAGTACAGCCGGCTGTCCTGAGGTCCCAGGATCCTTAGGTGCTTAAAGTCTATCGCCTCCTGAAAAAAAAAAAAAATGCCCGTGAGGCTGTGATTATTTTTCCATGACTTCTTCTGTAACAGCCTGGGCTCACTCCCATTAAATAAAGGAGAAACAACTTTGAGAGACTGTGCCTCAATGTTATTTCCTTAGTCAAATCTCAGGAAAGGTTTCTGTGTTATATATATAGGTTTTCATTTGTACAAACATTACTGTCATCACTCTGAAGCAGATTTTAAAGGGGTGGTTTGACATTTTGGGAAAAACTCATGTTTGCTTTCTTGCTGAGAGTTAGATGTGAGGACTGACGCCACTCCCATGTTTGTCCCTGAAATGTAAAGCTGATTAGCTTAGCTTAGCATAAAGACTGAAGACAGGGAGAAACAGTGTCCAAAGGTGCGGGTAGGTGGATTCTGTTTCCAGTCTTTATGCTAAGCTAAACAGCTGCTGGCTATAGCTTTATATTTACTGAAGGACAGAAGGACAACACCATCACCCGTGAACAATATTACCGTTTGTGTCCTGGAGAAGCCATTCCATGCATTTATGGACTACCCAAGATACACAAAGAAGGAGCCCCACTCAGGCCGATTATCAGCAGCATTAACCTACAACATTGCCAAACACAATTCTATCATCTTAGCTCCTTTGGTGGGAAACACGCCTCACCACATCCAAAACTTTGTAAACAAAGTTCGAGGACTAAGACTGGATCCAGATGAAACCATGGTATCCTATGACATGACTTCTTTGTTCACCTGCATCCCCACCGTACAGTAGAAACCATTAGGAAACGGCTAACACAAGACAACACCCTGGACAACAGAACTAGCCTCAGCCCTGACCAGATCTGTAAATTACTCGACCTCTGTCTAAACACCACCTACTTCCAGTACAACGGTGGATTCTACAGACAGAAGCATGGCTGTGCCATGGGCTCACCGGTATCCCCGATTGTGGCAAACATCTACATGGAAGAAGTGGAGAACAAAGCTCTCATCTCCTTCAGAGGAATAGCACCGAGCCACTGGTACAGGTATGTGGACGACACCTGGGTCAAAATTAAAAGCCAGGAAGTGCAAGCCTTCACAGAACACATCAACTCTGTGGACAGTAACATCAAGTTCACACGAGAAGATGTTCACAACAACAGTTTGGCCTTCCTGGACTGCGCTGTACACATTGAAGAGGACAGGAGCCTGCAGATTGGTGTTTACAGAAAACCCACACACACAGACCAATACCTACTGTTCGA